AAAGTCTCTTGCAGACATATTGAATACGGATAAGAAATATCAGAACGAATTATCTTCTACAGATCTTGACAAGATCTTGCTTACAAGATGTTCGTCTAGGGAAACATTTTCTTTTCATAAACTTACAGAGATATGTTCTTTATCTGAATTATAATTATAAAACCGGAAAAAACTTTTCTTTTTCCTAAATCAACAAGGGTGAACCAGTTATTTGAATTACAATTATAATAATTCAGGAAAGAGCACTTCGTTTTCTGAAATGACAGGGAGAGCTAGTTATCTGAATTATAATTATAAGACCGGAAAAAAAACTCTTTCCTTTCCTAAATCAGCAGGGATGAGCCAGTTATTTGAATTACAATTATAATAGAGGAAAAAAAACTTTTTCTTTTCCTGAAGCCAGAGGGGCGAGCCAGTCATCTGAGTTCTAATTACAATCAACATAAAGTTTATCTTTTTCTTTGGAGGTTTGAAGAACATGAATGCCCTCAACATATCCATTTATATTCAAACCCGAATCAGACAGCAACTCGCTGAGCCTCACCTGATTTTTGAATGTCGTGCCACCCCTGTCTATTCTAATGCTTGTAAGATCTATCTAAGAACATGACTTAAGCTTGAAATTCAGTTTCAAGTAGCTCTATATCTTATAGGTCCGAGCCTTAGTAAAATAATCTTAATTCGACAAGAAAGCTCAACAGTTAAAAAAAGATAGACTGTTTCATTACGCACTAATATACTTTGAGTGTCAGTAATCTCGTTCACAAATTGATTTTATACTTGAACAAATTCTCTCATTAAATCTATCTGTTGCAGTATCCGACATGGGTCAAGTTTTCGTGTCTCGGCCTCATTCAATTCGAGGCAGAACATTTTTTTTGTTTGACACGACCCAACACAAGGTCAACGATAGTTTATGGTCGATCAAAGCTAGATTTTTAAGACATTAGCAATCTTCTCAGTAAATCTACACGAATTCTCTCTATATTCGGAATAAAGATGTCAGGATCTCGTCTAAAAGTGCCGTTTTTCCTATGCAAAGTTCGAAATCAGTTAGTTTTTTGTGTGACCCGACTAGAGGTGAAGTACTCTATTTCGTGATCTGATCCAGCTCGAGTCAGACACTGAGCCGTAACAGGCAAAATCAATTGAAAATAGCTCTTAGAAATCTACCCCTACGCGGATATCTCAGAAGTCGTTATACCATTAGTGAGAATAGATAAGAATAAGTTACATTCGTTCTGACAATAGAAAATATTCTGCTTTTCGATGAGAAAATGCTTAACTATCTTTGGTTTCTATGGTCAATATTATTATTTTTATCTTCTCGATGTTGTGGTGATGCCTTCTGATCCTTGAATACATTTCATATATTAGATCAGCCTAATCTTCATTCATTTTTTAAAATGGATTAGATCCAACGAATTAGATTTCTTGAGGCTGTAAATATTAATGCATGTCTTGTCATAGAAGTTAAATTTTTCTTCCTCTTGTTCAATTCACTTTTGATTTGATTCTTTTGTTGACATCTTCACGTCTTTTTCTTTTTCTGATGAAAGAAGAGCGTTAATATTTTGATAGACTTTTTTGAATCTTCACCATTTCGAAGTGTTTAAATTTGTAAGAAGCAAAAAATGTCATCAACATCGTCAAATGATGCGCAAGTCATCGAATTGTTAAAACATATCTCGGATTACATTAGTCGTTACTTTTCAATGTTCATTTTTCTCATCGGTACAATTGGAAATACTCTGAATGTTTTCATTCTTTCTCAACGATCACTTCGTCAAATTCCATGTATTTTTTTCTTTTTTGCTTCATCAATCGCTAGTCTAATCTCGATCGATTTTGGTCTCATAACTCGAGTACTATCTGGATGGGCAGTCGATCCAACGTATACAATCGGATGGTTCTGTAAAGTACGTACCTTCATTGTATTCTCATCTCGAGCAATGGTATTTTGGTTTTTTGTCTTGGCTACTATCGACAGATGGTTATCGTCATCTGTACAAATTCATCATCGTCAATTGAGCACATTAAAAAATGCTCGACGAGCAACAGCAGTCGTTATACTCATAACAATGATTGTTTATGGTGAATTACTCTATTGCTATGATGCCAATTTAATTGATGCTCCATTCAAATGTTATGCTAAAACACATGCATGTCAATTGTTAGCTGATATGACATTTGTATGTTTTACAACAATTGTACCGATATTGATTATGTTCATATTTGGTTTGTTAACAATCTCGAATATTCGTCAAAGTCAACGACGAATATTACAAATGACTAGTATTGCAATAAATCCGACAATATCAGCAACGAATCATGAATTTCAACAACGATCAAAGAAAAACGAACAGCATCTTCTTCTGATGGTTTTTGTGCAAGTCTTTGTTCTGGCTATACTCACTCTTCCACAAGCTATTCAAAGATTATACGCAGCATTTATTGGATCATATAATTCTCAATTACAAGCAACTATTGATATGTTTGTCTATAATTTCGTTCTTTTACTCACTTATTTAGCTAGTGCAACACCTTTCTATATTTATACATTAACTGGTGGAACTTTGTTTCGAAAGGCGTCACTAGAATTCATGCAATCCATTTATCGAGCGATTCGACGTCGATGTTGATGGTGTAAAGCATCTTTTGTATCAAGAATACAATGAAATGACATTGAATCATAGAAGCAAATAAAATGCAAAGTGGCAGTTCCTTAAGAAAATCTTCATTCATTTTGTTTTGATTGCTTGAATAATTCTTCACAATTAAATGCACTGCATTGAAATCAAATTTCTGTGCTTGTCAAACGTATGAATGCACAATTTTTCTGCACTATTGATCATGTAAAACATTAAAACAAAAATGAAGGTAAGTTAGAGCTGCATGTTATTATACTGAAAAAAATCAAGTTATCTGGAAAGGATAAGAGATTTATATTTAACAATAACTTAACATTTTTGATAGTCAATTTCACATCTGTATACAGATGTTATCTATGTGAAGATGAGTTAATGTTGAGTAATAATGATTATTATTTTTCATAAAAAATATGTTTCGTTTTGTACAAGCTCAAATGGTATTCCACAATGCCAATTTCATTATAATTTAAAAGCTAACATATTGTAATAATATAGGAAGATTCAAAAGTGATGGTTTACCTTATGAATTGATAAAACAAAGTAGTTAGATAATCTGAGATAAATCAGAAAACTCTAATTGCTCCACCATCACTTAACCATGATCTCATTAGCATTTTATTTCTAATATCTCAATAGAAAAAAAAATAATTTGAAAGTTCACAATACTCATACAACTCAAATAATGAAACATTTATTATTATAAATAATATTATCTACAAATAAAATGATTGCAACTATTGACTATAATAACGTAACAATCAAAACCTATATGAATAATCCGTATACACTAATTTTCTCTTGTGGCAATGTTGAATTGAATCAATATTACTACTTACCAGACTAATGAATATGTCATAAAAATAAAAAACACAAATAAAGTGAAACATACTTTCACACAAAATATTTCTCATTGTCTATGCTTAAAAGACACAGTTTTCCTTCACTTTTCAGGTTTTATCAAAAATGTTCGAAAGTAGAATTTCGAAGTTTTCAGGATAGATGGATTCAGAGTAGCAGTATAAATATGGATGTGCAGCTTCAGCTAACTGATGACTGACGTCACCGGTGAAGTGTCCAGTGGCACACTGACTATACTGCACTGACTTCATTGAAAGCGTTGTTCACTGAAGTACCGAAGTGCACTAAACAATGACGATAATGATTTCAGCGTTCCGTGTTATACTGACACGCCGGTGTCATAATACTCTGCATCTAAATAATAGTCGAATGCAGGGTGTGGGTAGGGGTGGGTGTGGATGACAATAGAGTGATAACACACACACACACACACTGGCGGATCGCAATGAAAAAGGTGATCGTCTCAATCAACTCCATTGGTCCAGCTACGTCTTTGTTGATCAAGACTATTCTGTCTACGTCTCAGACACACTCAATCACGGTGTGATGAAATAGATAAAGGGTGCGAAAGAAGGGATAGTCGTGACCGGTGGTCGAGGATGAGAGGATGATCTTACACAATTGCAGAATCCTCGAGGAATAATTATTGATGCGTTGGTACAATGGAACGATACAGGGAACTGTCATTGCTGGTGAAAATGGTTGACGATAAGAAGCAAACCAGTTGAAGGGTCTCGAGGCTTTGTCATTCGATCGACATGGGAATCTGTATGTTGTTGACGACGGAAATCGTCGAGTTCAACTATTCTCCATCGAAAAATGAGTTTGACTATTTGCTGTTTTGTGCTCAACAAAGGAGTGACTTGTATTAGATTTCTTCCGAGTATAATGAGGCAGTGAATAGTTTTCTTTTGGAAATAAATCTTTTTTTGTAAAAGATTTCGTTTGGCAAGGCCATTGCTTTCTTATCTTCCCACCCGTTTGATAGAACCTCTTCACTCATATATAGTTGCCCGCCCATGCTCGACTACACTGAAAGAAGGGCACCGAACGGAACTTAAAAAAGCTTCTGAGTTTTGCAACGAAATCGAAACCTTTTTTAAGTTTCGTAAAAAACAGATGCAACTCTGCTAAGCCTATAACAATCCATGTCTGTATACATATATTACCATACTTATAGCTACCTTATTGTGCATACTCTTGTTCCTCGAAATCTACAGCCATCGTTCCCCATTTTTATCTCCTTAATCTACCTTCTGTATGCAGCGACAAACTCGATAGAGTAGCTTACTGTCATCCTCGGTCATGATATATATTTGGTTAACTCACATATCTAGAATGTAACTACTTCGTATAAAACGCACGCTTCTATAAGAGAGAGCATGAGACAGAGATGAGCATAGGAACGGACGATAGAGACAGATGAATACAGGACAGAACAAGAGGGATAAGACAAAGTGGAAAGAGGAAAGGAAGGTCACTGGGAAGTGATATCAATACGCGGACACCTTAGACTAACTCTTTAATCTACATCTTGTTTTGACTTTCGATGAACAAGCAGATAAGAAAAGATATGCTACAACTGAAAATCGAACTCATGACCGATTACTGGTTGTTGGGGCCAATGCTCTAACCACTGAGCTATCGAAATCCGACGAGCATATACTTTTTTTCTTGATGATATTGAATGATTGAAAGTATGTTTTATGTNCTCTCTATCTAAATCAAAGGTCAAAATCTAAATTTCATCTAGTCGGCAGATCACTTTCATGGGTTCTTTTGCATGTTTTTCAAATATGATTAGTTTTAAAAGGATTTCGTCTTATACATTATCAGAGAAAAAGACGTCCCAACTCCTCCTCTTTCGATTGACGAAAACCGCAGATCGCTAGCTATTGCGGTTGTCGAGTTATTGAGCTTACACCCACCCATATTTAATTCTGGCGCCGACAATAGTCTTTACTTATTCAAAGTATGATAGACTTGAGTCTACTCAAGACCCATTGTTTCGCAGCCCATGCGAATAATGTAGAAACAAATAAATCTGTGCTTCTTTTTTCTACAATATCGAAATTAGTCGTCACCGTTTTACATCGAAATATTTATCTTCTAGCGCTATGTAAGACGAATAATTTCTATGAATGAAACTATACAGTATGTTTTTCTTGATAGAATTTTTCCTATTCTAGCAGGCAATCAAAGTAAGGGATGATTATGGTAAACATAAGCTTCCACGATTAATCTCATGACTTTGGTTTAAATTTTGCGAATTCCATAGATCAACCTTGAATAGAAATGGTCTAAAAGTTTCAGCTTGCATGAATGAGTCAAGTAAACACAGATGCATTAGCATCGAAATCATCGGTACTCTGCTTAAAACCGAATCTTTTTTTCGGTATACTTCATTTTTTCACAAATCAAAAGATTTATTCCAGTAACTTATTTATCACTGATTTTATCCATCACGAACTATCCTTTCATTAGATCGAAATAATACCCTATGCTGATAAAATTTTATAAAGGTCTTACAAATTCTCGAACAGACCATTATATTGAAAGTAGTTTTACTTGAAATGATTAACAAAAGTATTGATCGTCTTATATTCTGTCTCGTTTGTGCGAATAGATTTAAGAAGTTTGATTATTACGTCGGCTATTCACATAGAGAGCTTGAGGTGTAAAATAGAGTAGAGTCATATGGGCTAATGTTGAAAAAAACTATCTTATGCATACCAACATTGACCATTTCTTTATCTTTGAGAAGTAGCATGAGCCTATTCATATTGGAAGTTCACCTAAGTCAGTCAGCCTGGATCATGAACCATCAAAAGTTATGTTTTATAATTACTATGAGCAGTGGTCGTATGCATGACTATTTCTGAAGGAATAATGCGCGCATGAATTTGAACAGGAAATCTTGAAATGGGACTGCTTTTTCCAACACTCAATTTGAACCCAGGCGGATCAAACAAAGAATCTCTTATCCGTATTAGGGTTAGCCTAGCTCTGGCTAGCACTGTTTAGCAGTATATATTGTGAAAAGTTTATCATCAAAAAGATCACAAGTTCAATAAAATAAGATAATTCGATTAATTATAAAAAATATATGAAAGAAAAGATAGATTTCTTAGTAAAGCGAGAAACTAAGATGCCTGTGGCAATACTTCAATTTCATGAAGAATACCGTTCATTAACAAGAGTCTCATAGAAACTAGTTTTCTATTAAACGATTTTTGAAAGTGAAAGAAATTACTATTAGTATTTTTCCCTGCTGAATTTAGCCTATTAACCAACACTGCTTCACTAAAATAATACTCACACTGCTTACTCTTGCAAAAAAACGAATATATTTGACTTTAATCTATTATCGACTCATACAAAATCAATTAGAATAGCACTATTTTTATCTAATTTTAATACGATTATTGCTTTTTAATTGATTCTAATCACGGTGATCTCAAAATGAGTGATTCTCGAGTTTTTTTTTGGTTTTTCAGCTTTTCGACTATACAACTGGTACGTATAATACGAAGTCAATTTTTGACATACATGTCACACTTCGAAATACGATATCAAATAATAATTACTTATGTCAAAAGGAATAGTAATAAATCATATTATAATCAATTATCATCTTTGATTAAGGTCAATTGAAATCTGGTTTTCGGCTTGAAAGACAGAGGTTCATTTGATTTGAATCGATTTTAATCCGAAGAGACTCAAGTAAAATCAGACATTGTTTCCATTTTTTCTCTGTTATGCAATCATCACATTACTCGATCTTGCTTATGAAGGAAGAGTTATTTTCAACTGAACAGATACTTTCCTTTTCTGATAACTTAACTAAACTTGATGAAAAATTGACCAAATAAATGACTTCTGACTTTCATACATTATAACATGCACAATTCTTTCTCGAGAACAGAGGCAGCTTTGAAATGGACGGCCTGAAAAACATTTAAGTCCGCCAGGTCTATCGATCTCCTCTAATGAAGACTGTTTGACCCTTTCGGGAATCATCTTTGGACTTTCTACCCATTTCTATGTCTGCTGAGCAACATTATATTGACAAAGAAACTGTCTCAAATAATACCTGTCACATGAGGTGATGCTGAACTAAGAAGAAGACGATAGTGAGACTAGCAATAGAATGAAAGAGTTCATTTTCATGAGCCTTATATATCAAGTTATGACCGCTTTGTAGATAATTCTTGAGAAAACAAATAGCGTAGTTTTTATTTAAAATGTTGCTTATAGATAGATATAATGATTCTTGAAATATCTTGAGCGTTTTAGTCGAAAGCAATGTTCTTTGGTCACAATATTACATTTCGAAAAATTGTCCGTTGTCACAAAAATCAAGCTCACTTGAAAATTCCATAACTTGATGAAGTAAGAATCTTTTCAGCTGAAACTTCCAAGAAATTCTAAGAGTCAATATAATCATTTCAAAACTTGAAAAATAATCAAAGATTTTACTACAAAATTAACTTTTCTAGCATCATAAATAAAAAATTTAAAGCTAATATAAAACCAATATAATAAATAGAGCTAAAAAAACATTATTCAAAGCCAACAAAAAATTTTCTATTGTGGTTTTCTTGAAATAAAATAAGAGCAGTTTAAAAATAGTTGTCTCATACTTGATGGTAGATATGTATTTATTTAATTGATAATACCAAAAGGTTTTTCAGCTTTAGGTTTTGTTACGGAAACTGTCAACTTTGAACGTATTAGTGTACTAAATTCACAGAACATATACCATCAGTTAAATTAATTAATGTTATGTTTAATCTGACTATATGATTACTGACACGTACATCTGTTGTTCTTTGTGTTTATTATGAAAAAAGGTGTGATTTTACACTGTTTAGCAGGCATATTATCTGTAAAATGATTAGTGTTCGCTTATTACTTAAATACCTTTTATAAAAGTGAAGCAGAGAAACACTTTTATAATGGACCAAGATACATTTGTTCCATAGGCAAATTCAATCATTTGACTATTCTTCTCTATTAATGAGTCACTAGTCGTAATAGATCAAGATGCTTAAAAGAAAAGACACTCGCGGACATTGACTATCTCATGTTTGACTGAATATATCTTTCAGATACACACGAGACAACTCTTGTTCAAAGAGTTCTCACTGACAAAGTATAAACTGACGATGAAATCTGCAAAATATTTTCAAATATTTGAGCAGCCCCCCAAACCTAAGGGCTTCACCATCTACAATATGAAATGTTCCGTTTGATCGATTTTTCGTCTCTGATAATCAACCAACTATCGATAAAATATTTAATTCAATCGATACATATTATTGTTTTACGCTGTTTTAGTTTTAGTATACTTTGTTCTTCTTCAACACTTGCTTCGGCCATCTTATCTATAACACAATTAATTAAAAATGTTGCTGTTCTGGAACTTCCGATGCTTGTTGTTATACATTATATATGGGCAATTCAATATAATATATTTTGTAAGAGCAACTTGGTCATCATCAAACTCTTCGAACATTAAATTGTTAGGAATTTTTGAAAATGCGTCAAATACATCTGATACTGCGGAATTATCTGTTCATAGTCTAGCCATGTTTAAATCAGCTATAATACTTTCTCAACAATATAATATGACAGTAGAAGGAAAATTAATCGAATGGTATTCAGTACAAACTGGTGGCGATGTAATCAGTGTCCTTCGTGAAACATGTAATGTATTATCTGGTTCAAATATTGTTGGTATTGTTGGTCCAGGATTATCAAGAGAAGCTCATTTAATAGCATCATTTGCAAGAAGAATAGGTATACCTGTTATATCATATAGTGCAACTGATCCTGATTTATCTGATCGAAATTTTTATTCAAATTTTTATCGTACAGTTCCATCAGATAAAACAGGTGCTACAGCAATTGTAAAACTATTTAAACGATTTAATTGGACATCATCTATAATTATTTATCAAAATGATCCATTTGGAATTGGAGGCTCCAAAGTAATAACTGAAGAATTTCTTAAAAATAATATGACAGTTCGACATTCGATCATGTTTCATATATCGACACTTAGTATTCAAGATGATTGTAAAAAAAAATTAATGGAGAGTGAAAGTCGAATTATTATTTTATGGGTTCAATCAAATTATATACCTATACTATTAAAAGAAGTTCTTGAGTTTGATACAGTTGGTCCAGAATATATATGGATATTAAGTTCAAGTATTTCATTAGATTCTTTTGATAAAAAATATTATGAAAAGTTAATTGGATTATTAACTATTGAACCAGTTGCAGGAATTACTGTTAATGCTTCAATAAATACAACATTATTAAATGCAGCATATAACATATGGCAAAACTATGAATCGGAATCATTTCCTGGATCATCAAAAGTAAATTCTTTTGCATTATTTGCATTTGACGCAACATGGTCATTAATTAAATCATTACAAAAACTTTGTTCAACAACCGAAAATAATTCTTCGTCATCATCATCATTTTCTTCTTCATGTTTGTCATTTATTGAATCTCCACTTTGTTTTGATCGTCGTTTTAGTCAATCTGATTTATTACTAAAGACAATAAATCAAATAGAATTTCTTGGTGTATCTGGTGATATAAAATTTGATTCAAATAATCTTACCGATCGAGTTAATGGTTCATATTATTATGTACAAAATCTGCAATCTTTTTCAAATAGTTTGCATTTTGTTCCAGTATTAGAATATGGTAATTCTGGTGATTGGACTTCAAGTCAGCAAAAAAATACTATTTTTTGGCCAGGAAATTCAACAAAAATTCCAGCTGATCATGCAATGCTTGAAGGTAAAACATTGGAAATAATTGTTTTCGAATCAATGCCGTTTACAATAATAACAAATTTTATTAATGAATCTGGACACAATGAATCAAAACTAATCGGTTTTATACCTGATCTAATTGAACTTTTAGAGAAAAGAATGGGATTTAATGCCCGTATCAAAACAGCACCATTAAATCAAACTTATGCGGGATTAATTGAAGATGTAGCGAATGATAAGTATGATGTTGTTTTTGGTGATGTAAGAGTTACCGCTAAGCGAAAAGAATTAGTAGCTTTTTCTATTGTAATATTTGACAATTCTTTACGAATTATAACTCGACGAACATCTGATATTAATATTGATTTTTTATTACTTTTAAAACCATTCTCACATCAACTCTGGCTATTAGTCTTTGGCGCGTGTATCTATGCTGCTTTTGTACTTTTTCTTATTGAAAGGCAGGATAACGAAACATTACAAAATCGATCAATATTATCTCAATTTCTAATGAGTGTTTGGTATTCTTTTGGTAACATGGTTGGATACGGCGTTGATTTTAATGTTAGTACAGCAGCTGGACGCTTATTAACTGCTAGTTTATATATGTTAAGTATAGTATTATTAGCGGCATATACAGCAAATTTAGCATCTGACCTAACAATAGCAAAATCAAAATATATTATTTCGGGAATCGATGATATCAAAAGTGGAAAAATCCCATTTAATCGTATTGGTATTTCTATTAATACATCCGTTGAAGATTATTATTTAGCATCAATATCTAATGAAATTCGAAATTTTTATCCATTAAAAACTGCCCAAGAATTGTATGATAGCTTATTAGCAGGCCTTATCGATGTTTCGCTCATAGATGCTGCCACAGGTGAATATGTTACGAATAATATATATTGCAATTTAACATTGGTTGGAGATGATTTTCATCAAGGAGATTATGGAATTGTTGTGAAGAAAAAATGGTTATATACCAACGATTTAGATGTCAATATTTTATCCTTGCATGAATCAGGTGAACTCAATGAGTTAAGACGAAAATGGTTTCAAAACAAGACATGCCCCGATTCATCTGAAACATCGACTGCCCTGAAAATTCGATCAGTGGGCGGATTATTTTTGATTTTTGGATTTATTAGTATTCTATCATTCTTATTATTTGTATGGTCGAAACAATCTATTGTTAAACATTATTTCTTTAATTGATTGTCTTGAAAGAAGTCTTTTGATAAATAAAAACACTCAGCAAGAAGAAATTCAACTAAAACTCCTGAATGTTCACAAAACCATCTGTTAGCAATAGTTGATTTGTTACATTTCTAGTCAGAAACTGTTTCTATTTCGAAAGTAAACTTTGAATGCACTATTACTCAGGATGAACTTCAAATAGTGACATGTTGAAACATCGCATAATATTATTTGGTTGTGAGAATGCGGGTGTTTGTGTGGTTATTCACATGTGCTCTCTACATGTCTATCCACATCCTTGGTTTATATTGAACCGATCTGATATTTTGTACGATTGTACCCGACCATGGTTCGAAAGGTGTGGATACGAATGTGTATGTAGAGAGCACATATAAATAATCACACAAGCACCAACACTCAAATAAACGATACAAAATCGGTGATAGACAACTTTGACACTCGACATTATTAATATGTATGCCGAACTTAAAAGACTTTGTTTGGCAAAAAAGTTTTTTCTGTGGTCAAGAAAAATTTCAAACGATAGCTGAACATGAAATTTTCTTTTTATGAGTGTTTATTTCGGAAAAAAACTATAGTTTTAACGGTCAAAAAAAAGTGAGCTCCAAACTCCAAATTTGGAGCTCAGGATGGTGTGTCAGTGTGATTCTCTCTCAATGATGCACTCATACCCTTATTTTGATTTTGTTTTTCATGCGTGGTAAAAAGCGAAAGTTCAAATAATAGTTCTGTGGCAGTAGTTTGATTATTGCTAAGCCGATCGTATAATTCTTTAGTTAAGATTTTGAAGATGGATGAAGGTCAATAGATGACTCATACTATCATTCCATGCTGCATTACTAATATATTTTAAAAACAACAGCTGAAAGTGAAGGATCATTGCTAAAGAACATTTTAACCAAGGACAATTATTGATGACGACAACAAGTATGGAACACTTTTGAACGAACATTTGTTCAAAGAATAGTTAAGATCTAATTCTTCCAATTAATCTGATCAAAAAATAATATTTTTAGAGCATGTGATATGGAGTAAAATCCAAAATTTTAAACAAAATTCAGTAAATTTGATAAAATAAATCGTGGTAGGCCTTCACATAACAATCTTTGATGCGAAACAAGCGTTTTTGTTTTGGTAATTAGTTTGTCCATGAGATGTACATTAATACTTTTTTCGTTTATTACAGTTTGAAATAATTTGATAATGAATTGAATGATCATTCGAACTGTCAAGATAAATACCAATTGTATCGATCACAAGCGCAATAGTAATACCTTGCTAGATAAGGAATGAGAAAAAAAATATTGTGATAATGCAGAACGTTTTTTTCATGCACATGGAGGATTGATAATATCAAATAACAAAAGGATATTGAGTGATTTGTAGTTTTAGCCTTCACTTGATATATTCTGAACGTCATTCTTCTTCGTTTAATGAAAAGAAGCGCTATAAACCGGGTGTATGAGAACAGATAAGGTTCCGATATATTTCCTTTTGAACTAGTAGCTATCGAGACTGTCAACATAAGATTTTCAAAATACGGTACTTTAATGAGTAATGAATATGCATGACGGCCAGTGTAAATCTATCTAAAATTTCATAACTGGTGTCAAGTATAGATACTTTCTGGTTATAACCCATTCCTAATTAAAGGATCATACAAAATCACATGGCTGCCAAACATACGCACAATCTCCATAATACCAAGAAAAAACAATGAATTGTGGATAATAATCTATCCCAAAATAATATCCTATCATGAAAGGAAAAAACCATGATCCATCACATAAACAGAAGGCTAGCGAAGCTTTATAAGCCATGAAAGAAATACTTAAAATTACAAGTATCGCGACGCAAACTTTAGTAAGTCTCTTGTTGAAAAAATAATATTATGATAGAATCAAGATAATCGGTAGAGAAGTTGCGAATTTCATCGATCTATCTATTATTACTAAACATTTGTTTTTATTTTCATAGCATTGACATTTACATTTAATTAATTCTAACACATAAATACTAGCAAAAGCAATACATATAATGTTGTGAGTCTCACATCATTATTTATGCCGATACTGTTTGGGAAATGTTTTTTTTTTATATCCATCGAACTGCTTCTGCGATTCTTATATACTAATCGATGTATGTATCGAAGTTGGTGTCGATCACTAAGACAATGCCAAATAACAGATGGAGAGAATGTTGATGTTGTCCACTAAGGACAACAATATATTCGTTTTCTCTTCTTCTTGTATTATTCCACATACATTTATATTCGATTATATAGGTGACTGAGTCAGGTATATATGTAGGTATGATAAAAAAATACAGAAAAGAAGAATATCGAAAAGAAAAAATATCGAATGCAAAAGAAGGTTCATATTCGTAATGGAAAACCACGTTGTATGTGAATCATTAAGTGATTAAAACTCTTTTCTTCTCCTTGAATACATTTAATAAAGGTTCATTAAAATTATTCATTAAAATGTTACATACGATGATAGCGATCATCAAGAAATTATTTTATTATCAAAGAAGCAAGATAATGATAATACCATAAGGTCTGATCCATGAAGCTTGTATGTATTAAATATTATTCGAAATTGAGCGCAAAGTTGAAAAAAACCATCTGCAACCACTTCAAGTAGAATATTTTAGATCAGCATTTGAGAATTTCGCGTTGCGATTCACTGAACCACTGGATCTAATTTTCATATTGATGAAAGTTAGTAGAAATCGATGAACTCTAAAAGGTACATTAATCTCTATGCAATTTCAATAGAGCCGTCACTGACAAAAAATCTCTTCAACGTTATGTATATACATGCAACATATACATTCTTTTGCTGAGGTTTCTTTTCTCATTGATGGCTCCATGAGAACTGTACAGAAATTAGTGCATCTTGTAGAACTCGTCAAATTCCACTTGGGCGTATCAAATGAAAGTTGTGTTCAGTAATTCAGCGAATCGCGACGCAAAATACTCGAATCCTGACCTCAGATATACTATATTTATTATTTGTGTACCTTAAGCACTTATTTATGACTCGAAAAATTCAAGAATCATTGTCATGAATATCTATTGAATTATTTACTAACATATTAATTGATTAAGTTGAATCAATAAAAAGAGAATTAAAAACTTCTTTTCATTTCAATCTGATATAATATAATTTTAAACAAGTTTAACAATGTTCGTTGCTAGTGGTGATACTTTACAAGTTGATATTATCCGTGGTGCTTTTTCATTATCGTACAACAAAACAAACCTGATGCCTATGAGTAATACAATAAGTAGTATTGGTGATAACGAAGAAGTACATCTTAAGCATGAAGTTATTTACTTGTGTCTACAATTGTTTAATAAAGTTACTACCATAAAAACTGCAGCAAATGTATTATTTGATCAAGAAGAAGAAGGTAATTCAAGTAATTTAAATTAAAATGGGTTTTGATTTTAATTCCAGTAGGCTAAATCTAGTTAGAAATCAGTTTAGCTCAAAACGATTTTAACAAGAAAAAAACCAAAAGTCAAATTATAAAATCTGATTTTATAATTAGTTTGAATGATTATTTATCGTTGTTTACTAGTTTCGCAAGATATGAATACCATGGAACCAGTAAATATTTATATTAATTATCATTGTTACAATAAAGGAGGCATTGTTGGCATTCGTTAACAGCCATCAATTGATAGGTTTAATTTGCTTTTAATGAATATTGATCTCTCAACACAAGATAAATCTATTTATCAATAGTATATTCAAGTAGATGAAATAGAACAAATGAATAATCTAATCTTGAAGCGACAGTACGCTGTGAAAAAAATACAAAAATCTTTATCATTAATATGAAATAATAACAAAAATAAAAGCTTAAAAAATTACATTTGTCGATATATAATCGGAAGACAAATTACGCAAGAATTACTTTTTTTATAGGTTAAAAAATACTATCCTATTTGTGAAGGGGTGTGTGTGATCCTTTCCATCTCGCAGCGCATATCTGCGTCCACATTTACACTCGATTATGGATATTTGAGGTAGTACTTGAAAATACTCATTTAGTGTAAATATGTAATAACTTTGTAGTTAAAATAAAATACCGCCTGTGGGAATTCCTTACTTCTGATTTCTGATTAGGTTTTTAATTGTTAACATCGAAAAAAATATTTCTCAAGCGCTTTAGGGTGTCGATGTGAGGTGTGCGCATAGATGTACTTCCTACTCACACCCACTCAACCCTTATTTAGATGATATTGTAAAACATTTTTGTACGCTATATGTGCAGAACGAGTAGAAGCCAACAACATATAAATCTGTATGAATGAAGATGATGATGAACAATAGACAACACGTCACATAACTTGCGAAAGCGCATTATTTTGAAAGCAATCGATGTGAGTGGTTCTTGTGTGTAACAGAAAAAATAAATTCGTTGCTATTGATAAGAAATTTCATTACAAACTTCCTGACACAAGAAATAGGGACAAAGGAAAAAGTCTTCCCAATTGATAAGGAAAATATTAAAATGCTTCAGCTAAGAATATATTTGTCTGAAAAAAAAACTGATGAATGAATGGTTTTTCCTTAGCTTTGAAAAACTTTCTCCATTAATTTTTTCACCAGTTGCACCAATTCCACACGTGTGTGGGTGTAGGCCTTCAGTATACCTAAACCAGTGTTGTCAGATATCAAACTCGACAAACCGGAATTCAAATCTCAAAATCCGAAAAATCCCGAAATTTTGTTTTTGGAATCCGGAAAAAAACCCGGATAGTTTTTAGAGGGTTAGTTTAAACCTTTTAAAGAACGTTTTACTCGAGCAGATTATGAGTATCGATATTCTCTATACCCAGTGATGTGACTATGGAGGAGGGAGGATGCGCTCTCCTCCCCCCGCGAGTTTTAGGAATTTTTCAGTTTTCCTCAGCCAAAATCTTTTTTTATTAAAAAAGATAAAAAAATTAAAAACCGATTAGTTCAGGAGTCCGTGCTTATTTCTCCTTCGCCCCATTCCTCTTTATATCTACATAATGTATTTAAATGAGGAAAAAACCACACGTCAGAACATTGTTCACTTAATTCTAAGAATTCATCTATTACACATTTCGCTGTTAATTTACACGTTGTTTTTTACTACAGTACTTTTCGTTTCAATGAATAAGTTTCAATAATTCTGATTTTGACAAGAGAAAATCATAAATATTTGTATACGATAATAGTGGATTTAAACGAACTTTTAAATTTAGCTGCAATAAGCTCTGCTGACATGCGATTTCGTTTATCATCAAACAGGTATTTCATTGTCGAAAAAACACTTTCGACATATGCATTACTCTAGGGTATTGAGAATACAAAAGAAATGAATTTGTGTGCATTATGAGAAGGTGCAGGTTTAAAAGATAAAAGCATTATCCATAGATGATCAGATCTTATTTCTTTTGTTTCTCTATTTTCTTCTGTTGAATCATCATTATCATTAATCTTGATGTTTTTCTTAAATCTCTTTGCTTGATAAGATTTTTTAGGTGAAGCTGTTAATATGTTTGAATTTTTTTATTTTTAATATGTTAACCAATAAGTGAATTATAATTGAGACTGAAAATATCCAAAACGGGGAAAAATCCGGAAACCGGAAAAAACCTGGGAAAACTTTGAAAATCCAAAAGATCTGGCAACACTACTGCATTCTCGAAACTTTAAGTAAAGACATAAATCTGCACATAGATTATTCGGTATTACCATCAAATACCTATTTGAAATATATTCAAAACTGTCTTCAAATGTGTTTTGAATATAAAGTGTACAGTATTGAAAGCACTTAATAGAAACCATATACGAATTGGGATTAGTTCTATGAGACTTACTAGGAAAGGCAACTCACGAACCATTTTTTTCTAATCTAGCTAAAAATGTAGTTGATTCTTTTTCCAATAGATTATTGGTGAATGAGTGATGAATTGTAAATCATTTTATTTTTCCCTGAAAAATAGATACGTACAACAGTCCTACATATTTTTATATAGATATTTCTATCAACACTTTATTCTGGTAATAATGATGTCTAATCGAAAAGATGTACAGTTGAAAAATCAAACTGATTAATCGAGTTCTATTTCAAGTTCTTCCGAAAGTCGCTCAATATTCGATTCCATCTTTCGTACATTATCATGCCAAGGAGGTAGATATTTCCTGTAGATAGCTAATGCTAGTTGATAGTGATTGAGGGCCAATATAGATTTATTGAGTTTTTCATAAATCTCACCTATCTTCGATAAGCTATGGCCAATATTCTCATGATTTGGTGGTAGAACTTTGAGACGCATTAAGAAACAATTCTGTTCATATATAAGAGAGAGTTCATGTTCGCCTTTTCTTGTTTGTACTTGTGACAAACACTCGAATAAGGTTGCAATAGAGAGATCTTTTGAAAGCAGGCTGGCTTCTTTAATTATTAAACATCTTTCCAAATATTCAATAGCAAGATTGAACTGGGATTTCCTATTGAAGCTAGCAGCGATCCAGTATAGGCAATCAGCGATTTCACTATGATCATTGGAATAATATTCTTCGAATATGACTAATGCTTGTTGATAAGAGTTGAGAGATTCATCATATTTCGTTTGTTCAAACAGAGTATTACCGATGTTCTTGAGAGTGGTAGCAATTCTTAATTGATCGTTAGATGAATTACTTCGAAGAAGTTTCAACGCTTGTTGCTGAAAGTCAAGAGCTTTATCGTATTTTCTTTGATTTTTTAATATTTGCGCCATGTTGCCCAGACAAGTAGTGGTATTTAAACAATTTGATGAGTCCTTCTCGTAAAACGCTAGTGCTCGATGATAAAAATTGAGAGCTTCATCATATTTACCTTGATTACTCAATACATAACCAATAGTAGTCAGGCAAGTAGCAAGGTTTACATGACCGGATGAATAATATTGCTCATAGATTACTATTGCTCGATGACAGAACTTGAGGGCTTCATCATACTTTGCTTGCACATTAAGAGTCATACCAATATGTCGCAGACTGTCAGCAATATCAACATGACCAGATGGATAGCAACTTTCGAGAATAGTTAGAGCTTGTTGATAACAGTCAAGTGCAAGATTGTATTCTCCTTGATCTACTCTAATCTCACCGATGCGATTCAAACTCTCCGCAATTTTCTCGTGACATGAGGAATATTTTTCTTCTCGAATTTTCAATACTCTCTCTTGAAACTCAATGGCTTCAACGTACTTCCCTTGTTTTCTCAGGACATCAGCAATATTGATGAGACCATTAGCAATATCAACAGGATTCGATGGGTAATATTTTTCGTAGATTTCCAGGGCTCGTTGATAGAAGTCGAGAGCTTCATCATACTTTCTTTGTAGAGTCACAAGATTAGCGATGTTGCTTAAACTATAAGCAATGTTCATGTGATCAAAAGGATAATAATGTTCTCGTATTATCAATGCCCGTTGTTGGAACTCGATAGCTTCATTGTACTTTTCTTGATCTCTTAGAACATTGGCAATGAGTATCAGGCTATCAGCAATACCAACATGATTAGTTGTATCAAACTTCTCTCGAACTGTTAGTGCTCGTTGATAGAAATCAAGAGCTTCATCATACTTTCTTTGCTCATACAGAGTACCCCCAATATTTATAAGAACGGTAACGATGTCAACATGATCAAATGGATGAAATTTCTCTCGAATGGCTAATGATCGTTGATAGAAATCAATAGCTTCATTATGTTTCTCTTGGCTATACAGGACATTACCAATAGAGTTCAGACTGTTCGCGATGTCAACCTGAGCAAAGTCATCATATTTTTCCTGAATAGCCAAAGCCTTTTGATAAACCTGAAGAGCTTCATCGTACTTCTTTTGTTTATATAGAGTGTCACCAATGAAGCTGAATGTATGAGAAGCTTCGATGTGACCATCAGGATAGAAGTTGTTTTGCATTGAAAGTGCGCGTCGATAATAGTCAATTGCTGCATCATACTTTGTTTCATTGTACAGAACGTGACCAATACGATTGATAGTATCAGCTATGATGACACTTCCTGATGGATAATAGTTCTCTTGAGTTTCTAATGCTTTTTGATAATATTCAATCGCTTTATCAAGCTTATCTTGTTGACGAAATGCTCTGCCAATATTAATGAGGGTTGTTGCAATGTCCACATGGCCATTTGGATAATACTTTTCTTGCATTTCGAGTGCAGCCTTATAAAACTTCAAAGTTTCATGATATTTTTTCTGTCCAATAAGGACATTTCCGATGTAATTGAGAGTATTGGCTATATTACACTGGCAAGATGAGCAATATTTTTCTTGCATTTCGAGTGCTCTTCGATGATAATCAAGAGCTTCATCATACTTTTCTTGCTTGCCTAATATAATCCCGATGCTGTTCATATAAAAAGCAATGGAAGAATAATCAGATGAACAATGTTTTTCAACATTTGCTAGTGCTCGTCGATAAATATCAACAGCATCATTGTACTTTCCTTGTTGACATAGTATATTGCCAATGTTGTTGAGACTAAAGGCCACTGAGACATGACCCGAAGGGTAATAGCTCTCTTGCATCGTTAACGCTCGTTGAGAAAAGCATAGAGCTTCATCATATTTTGATTGACAAACTAATACAGTGGAGATGTAATTGAGAGTGTCGGTGATGTTTCCATAATAAGATGGATAATATTTCTCTTGAAGTGCTAGTGCTCGTCGATGTAAATGAAGAGCTCTATCATACCTTCCTTGTTGTCTTTGTACATAGCCAATGTTATTTAGAGTACAAATAATGTCGTTATGACCAGGAAAACAATATTTCTGTGATATTTCCAGCACTTGTTCGTAAAATATCAAAGCTTCATTATATTTTCCTTGTCTATAGCGAACATTTCCTATTAAACAAAGACTATAAGCTATATCGATATGACCAGATGGATAATACTTTTGCTGCATTGCCAATGCTTGGTCGTGGATCTTCACAGCTTCATCATACTTCCCTTCGGCATAGAGAATGTAACCGATATGGTTGTGGGTGGAGGCGATATAGACATGACCATTCGGATAATATAATGTAAAGATTGACATTGCTTGTTGACAGAAATTGAGGGCTTCGTCATACTGTGTTTGAAATGCAAGAATCTGGCCAATGTGCATAAGAGTAACAGCTATCTCGATATGAGGAGATTGATAGTATTCTTTCAGTAAAGTCAATGCTTGCTTATGAAAAATAAGTGCTTCATCATACTTGGCTTGTCGAAAGAGGATTTTGGCTAAGCTACGAAAAATTGTAGCGATAGGTACATAACCATCCATGTTAGTCTTGCTCAATTGCAACGAACCGGTTTCTTGCAAGCTCCGACACATTTCTTGTAATCGAGTTTTGCTTGAATGTTCTTCACCATGCTTCGCCGTGGTTGCCACATATTTCAAATGGAGCCAACGACAAATTCCCAGGAAATACCTAGTCCAAAACCATCCATAATACAATTGAAAGAATCCGCCTGAATTCAATAAAATCGACCATAGTGATGCACAAACACGACTCAGTAAACTACTATGTTGGTAATTCGGTGTATCAACCTTGATAGGAGAATAATACTCCTTTCGCATTGCCAATGCTCGTTCATAATAATCACAAGCTTCTTCATACTTTCCTTCTAAATAGAGAATCTCACCAATATTGAAGAGTATATCAGCTATATCCTTGATAGGTGTTGGTTTCATATTCATGATCCGTTCATAAGCACGATCATAATATCTCCGTGCTTCACTCCATTCACCTTTCCATTGAAGAACCTCACCAAGACTGTATTCAATCTTTGTAAGGTCTTCATTGTTGTTATTCGAGTCGTTCAAGATATGTTGAAAGAAGTGTTGTGATTGATTCCATTGACCTATATCGCACATCAATCGTCCAAAGAGAATTCTGATGCTTAGACCTTTCATTTGACGATGTGAGTCTTTGATATATTTTTCTTTTATATGTTGACCTTCATTCGATGCACTCATTTCAATAAAAAACATGTCCTTTTCTGTTCTCACACTCTTCAGTCGAAGAGTGACATTTAAATCGAAGATAATATCTTCTTGCTCTTCATATGGAATTTCATTGAATTGAATAATATCAGCAGCATTGATAATATTGCTCATGTATTGTAGACTGCATTGGATTTCTAGGAGAACAGAAACGAGATCAGTTCGCTTTGAAGGTCTTATTGCTTGATTCAATGCAATTGAACGAAGAGTAGTTGTTGTCAAAAATCCATTGATTGAAACTAGTTTACCTTCGTTTTCTTTGAATTTCTCGATTTGATCACTTGTCAATTTCATTCCTCGATACACGAATAATATTTCTTTACCAGATTGAACTATCTTTTGATGTTCTCGATCAAAACTTTCTATTAGATCTTTCATAAAATACCGAAATGTGAATAGTTGATCGAAATCTTTGGTTCTTAATGCTTTTTTGATGATCTTATAAAGAAATGATTTTCTCAAATACCATTGAATAGCTTCTTCTGATCGATATTCATTTTCAAACTTCACAATTGCTTCTTTTTCTTTGATATTGTCTCGATAATAGAAACAACATGCATTGATCATTTCTTGTTTAGCTTCTTCATTGTGTGTTAATTCAAAGAGAACATCATGATAAAGTTGAAACCAAAGAAGATCAGCAGTTTGTTTTGATAGATCTTTTGTTAAATGTTCACTTTGATCGAAGAAGCTGAATATTTGTAAGTCTCGATCAAGAAAATAGACTTGCTCTTGAATGGATAAATATAATGAATCGAATTCATCATAGATACCGATAAGTTTTGGATGGTTATGAAGTATGTGTTCACGATCGACTTTTTCCCAGTTGAAGACAAAGATGCTGTCAATTTGAGGTAGACTTACAATATGAGATAATATTTGTGATGCATCAGAGACTGAAGAGACGAGAATAATTTTTTCGTTTTTTATTGATTGAATGAAACTGATGCAACATTCGAGTTCATTGTGAAACACAACATAATCATTGATTTGATGTAATTGTTTCTTTGTTTTTTCTAAATGACTATTGAAATCCATCCTGGAGTCAAGCCAAATAAGAGTGATGTCCTCTTTGTTATTGGTTCTGCTCATCACTTCTGACGATTTTTCAAGGATACTAGAGCGTGTTGCAATTAATGGTGGAAATATTAATTTAATTTTTCAATTGAAATGTCAAAGAGAAACGATAATTAGAAAATAATCCATTTCAAACCTTGGAACAATGAAAAAAAATAGTTAAATTTTAAGACAGAAGGAGTGTGCTTGTGTGCATTTGACAAAAAAACTTAAGAAGGGCAAGTCTGGAAGTGCGATTATTAGAGACACTAGCATTTTGAACAATTATTTCTAGTATTTCTAGGACATTTAGTATTTCAGTACAAGTATTAGAGAGTTATTAAAATTAATCTCATTCGTGAAAATAGTTCTGGATAAGACTTGCCTATGATATCGAAATGTACAGCATTCGAATCGCGAAAAAAACATCTGTCCTTATGCATGTGACACTAAGTAACGAAAGAAAAAAGAAGCGATTGCTATCGTATCTTCATGTGATTTCACTTACCTCATAAAATGAAACTAGTAAAATGAGTGATGATGTTTATATATGCGCATTGATTGACTATATGACGCACACATTATTGGCAAGAAATAACTGGTTTTGTGTTAACTGCAATATGTTGATGTGTACAAAAAAAATATTTTTTTCACAATGTGAATAGACTACGTAACAGAGATGCTCTACGCAATTGATTCTGTTCTGTTCTTGTGCAATAGCAATCCTCTCTCCTTATCTTACTCATTTTCCACCTTTATGCGCATCATAATTTTCTTCAAACGCATAATGGTGTATTTTTGTAAGCAGCATATTTCTTCCGAATTTTTTAGAAAAAGAAGTCGAAAGCTTTACGTTTGAGTAGCCAACCAAGTTGGAAATTAGTACAATTAGCATCGATTGATTGGGAAAAATGCTGATTGTTGTTCATTTTCAATAATCACTGACATTGTTGTTGAAGAACATATAAGTTTCATATTTGCACAGTAAATTTTCGATTGTATTTTCATAAAAAGGAAACATTGCGTTAATGGTAGATTAATCTATGACTTAAATCATGTATTTTGAATTGAATCGAACAGTGAATGATGATTCATTTCCAATAGATTCTATGATCGAATATTCAAACCTATAATGAAGAAAAAAGTACAGAAGAGTATGTGAAAATAACACCGCACTAAGACTCACTACTTAGAGATGTTGCTGAATCATCCAAAAATCTAAAAAAAATAAGTACGTGTCTTTCTCACTCTAGTGTACTACACATGATTTACGCCTATAATGACGTTTGGTAATTCAACTCTTTTCATGGTATTATCAGCTTGCTGGGTTTAGGCAAATAGATTTAAAGATTTTTTATCAGTGAAATCATTTGTAGCATTACTACTCTTGTTTATACATGAGTCATCGATTTGTTAACCATAGTGTTTTTAATTTTAACGATTTTGAAAATTTCTCTGAAGTATTTTTAAACACTTCTATATCATTGATCATGATTGCCATGTTTAATCACTGAAAAAATTGGTTTGGAAGATCATTGAAGTGTTCTATTGATGGTGAATATTTATATCTGTAAAATATTTTCAAAAACAGGTTTATTATAGTCCTTTGATTTGTACAATGTATTTGTGAGTGTTTATAGCAGATTTAATGTATCTATTACTTCTGTATTAGCTTGGAAAATGACTAAAAAATCAATTCAAAATTGCAATTAGAACCACAAGACGATGGCAGTCGAAAAACAGAACATTTAAGGAAACTAGCTGGAACATGAAAATAAATAAATAAATACATAATGTATTTACGAATGAAAAGTACTTCTTTGTCGTTTTAAGAACAAGTCGTGAGATCAAGTGACAATATCTAAGTTAAATATAATATTGTGATGCTACAAGGTTCATCACTGATTTACTAGATTTTTGTTGATTCCGACTCATTCATGGCAATGTTAATGAGGCATTCCAATCATAAAGCAATTTTTTGGTGATTTAACTCTTTATAAATCAGTATCACAATAAAATAGTGATTACTCCGGAAAGAATTCATAAGAGCCCTTATTGTCTCAAGATTACTCATTATTCACTAAAACCTAGCTATCTAAAATAATCTGAATCGAAAGCGACTTATCCAATCAACAGACTCTCTATGGATCACTGAAAAGATATGATAATTCGTATTTCATATTACAAATATTTGATTGTTTAAATTATCGATAAGTTTGATGGTCAAATTCATTGGTAATGACTTTCATTCGAGCTTTAGTGCCGAAATCAGAGATCAATGTTGAGGGCTTTTTCGTTCGTAAATTCTTCTTGAAGAGTTGCCAAATATTTTCGATAAGTGCAAAACTGGATGACATCAATGACCAATGAATATTGCTAACTCTTTCATTCATTTTCCAATTGACTTCTAATTTCAATATGTATTTGAGATGGTTATCTTCTTGCTATTTCTACCACGTCAAATTGTGAGTAACTTATTTCAGGACTACTAGCAAGAGACTATAATTCTAAATATTGCAACTAACTTTCAGCTTCTGTTTCATATAGACAATGTGATTGAAGCTTTGGCTTGAGAGGCAACGGAACTTAGACGAATTTTAATCTCGTCACAAAAAGATAATTTGGTTCCAGTTCGTAGTTTTGTGGCGTTGAGCCCAATTGACACGATTCTCTCAATGTTAGTCCATGAGCAATTCAATCAATATCGATTAGTTGTATTTCACTCCTACTTTGTTCAAGTATCGTCGTACTGGTGTCTTGTTTCATCATGATGATATTTTTGTTTTTGAGTCGTTGCAAATGATCGACTTGAATAGCTTAAGTCGTTTGAAGGCATTCGTCATTTGAAATAATGATTTTCTGTATTCATGCCATAATGAATTAGTCTCTGTCACAGCCGGATTGATGAGCTTCGGTTTCAATCTATGTTGCCATACAAAAACTATTTCGTGCAACTGATACAGTGGTAAGACCAAATGTAAGAACTACGTGAGAGCTAACGATTAGCAACAACATTGCAAGAAGGAACAATGATTCTAATCCGGAGGTATCTAGTGCTGCCTATTTATATTAATCTTATGGGAAGTTTCACTTCGTAACAATTAATTATATGTGCAGATTGATATACTTTTTGTGGTTTTCTAACTTCATTCTGTTTTATTGAAGGCTGACTTAGGAAATTTTCTATTCCACCATGAAGCTCAATAGAAACTGGACATGAAGTAAAATCTGCCTATGGGATTGCACTTGTATTTGAGATTGAACAGATCCCATCATGCTCTACTTCTTGTATAGATTATCGATTTTAAATTAGAATTAAGAAACCTTGCCTGGGTTTCTTTGAATCAGATTGATTGAAATACTTGTCAAGTACCTGAGCTAATTTATTATAATATCATGAATAAATTGTATCAAATGTTAAGAAACTACATTTGATAAATGATTCGTTCTTCTATGTGCAATATCATGAAGTGAAGAAAAACAAAGCATAAAGTCAACTCATGCAACTAATGGACTTTGATCTGTATAAACGAGTTTTTGTTTTGTAACATCTTAAGATATTTTTATTAGAACTAGGAGATAATTTAACAAATGTCGATTACAAGAATATTCTTTATTGTTAAAGAAGAAGAGTTTGTTTAGCACAGTCTTTCTGGGGTTGACATATGAAACTCGCATGTGTTGTTGAGCCTCATTAAACTAATACAAAATCAGTAAAGTGAAAAATCTCATGCAGACTATATCTACTTTTTCTGCAAGATAATCGATCACTAGAGTAAGGACCTGTCATATTTATTTCTGTATTTCGAACAGAGCCTTTTTCTTTTTCGTATTTTCTTTTTCTTAATTTAACATTGTTATTATTATAAACATTGAGTTGAATGACAAATAGGGCTGTTGTACATATTCATTATATCTACAACAGCACATTTTAACTCACTATTAAATATATCTCGATCGACTAACGACACTGACATTGATTATTTTTTTAAATTATAACTTGATCAATTGTAGTTTTTTATGTTGACCATACGACAATGCCTATCCATCATTGTTGATATCTTACATATAAAAATTTTCATTTTCACAGAAATCAAAAACTATACTACATAAAACATTCACAAATATATTCCAGTCACTCAGAATTCGAAGAAGACTTTGAAATGTTAAGGAGTAAAGTGTCTGTTCTCCTCCGTTGCAACTTACACTGATAATACTCTTTCTCGAAGCGCATAATTAGGGTTCCACAAAAAAAAAATATGAAAAACGATTGAGAAAATATAGAGATGATTTGAAAACAAAATATTTACATATTCCTTCTGGACAGTCCAATATTTTTTAAAGTTTTGCTCTGCTTGTTTTCAAATAAATGTTCGTGCTTACAAAACATGAGAATAAACATAGTTTTGTTAATGGCCAAATTTGTGTAATCTATTGTTTTGTAAGGAAAAATACAAGTCGAATATTCAACATGCGAAAATCAGACATAGACTGTACTAAAAATGGTTTTCAATGCTTTTGTGATATTAGTACAACAGTTAATAAACAACCATCTGAAGAACCTTCAACAATTACAGAAAAGTAAATCGATGAAGTTCATGATGATTCTGAAAATATATCACTATCGAGTGTTCGGATCGTTGCAACAATCTCCTTCACTCCATAAACAATAGCAGACTAAATATTCTCCAATGAATCAATCAAAGATGCAATTAGTCCAACAATTGTACGAAGAAGAAGAACAAGATTGAATTGAAATTTTACGATTTTAATACCAATATTATAAAATATCAACAGTCAGAAGAAATCGTTTTTTTTGTTTCGGACGAAGTCTCTTTTTATTTAAATAATTTATCGATAAATATTATAGTGAAAATCAATGTGTACAAGTGATAGATAAAAATTTGATTGAACTCAAAGAATCCATAACGATAATAAAACTTTCTTTCATATGTTTTTAGAGATTCCCTATAAGGATAGATTTAAGAATTTCACTTGATGTTAATCATATTGAACATCTTTTGTAAACTAAATTA